AGATTATAAAAATATTTTAAAAAGGAAGTCTAGAACGTGTTCTTCAGTGGGCCTATTTCATTAAGACCACTTTGGAAATTATTTTCAATAGTTTACAATAAAAGAAGTCACAGAATAAGTCAATGCTTTTCTGATTATTAGTGAAATACTTAATACATGAACTTAAGAACATTTAAACTGTCTATAAAATACTACATATGTACATACATACATACAATTTCACTATAATACGATGGTGTTAATATATTAGTAGTTTCTGCACACTAGGTAAAGAACATTAGTTGTTGTAAGGTTCATAGATACTTAAATGAGTTCCTAGACTTGGCTTCCATGGCACTAAACAAGATTGTTCAACATGTATTAAAGTGATCAAAAGAAATAGTATCTTTTCGTTTTTGCACTATTCATACCTCTTATTTTTATTTGCTTTTTCAATAGGTTTATTTTTTATAGTGTGGTAAAATGGGCCTAATATAAATCTACCCTTTTCTTTTTGGCTGGTTCTGAGTTAGAACTCAGGGCCTCTCATAAGCTAGGCAGGTACTCCAACATTTGAGCCATGCCTTCAGCTCCAAAATGACCATTTAAACAGCCTCAAGTAAATCGTTCTATGTCATGGAATACAAATGCACTATTCAACCATCAACTATAGTCCATCTCTAAACTTTTTTCATCTTTCCAAACTGAAATACTGTAATCATCGAACACTATCTTCTTCTTTCTTCTCTTCCTCCTCCTTCTTCTTCCCAGTATTGGGGCTTGAACTCAGGGCCTGGGCACTGTTCCTGAGCTTCTTTTGCTCAAGCCTAGCACTGTACCACTTGAGCCACAGTGCTTCTGGCCTTTTCTGTTTATATGGTACTGTGGAACTGAACCCAGGGCTTTATGCATGCTAGGCAAACACTCTACCACTAAGCCACATTCCCAACCCCAAACAATAACTTCTTAATCCTCTCCATCCCAGTTTATGGCTCCCCTCTATTCTACTTCTGTATCTGTAAGTTTTCAAAATATCTCATATAAGTGGAATCGTACAATATTAGAACATTTTGAGGAAACCCTGTTTTGAACCTTCTGGCTACTATGAATAATGCTACTATGAAACACAGAAACACACATATTTGTTTAAGTTCGTGTGTTCAATTCCAATGGGCATAAAAGTAGAAGTGGAATTACCCACTGTGCTACTGTTAATACTCTTCAATGCCCAATCCTCCCTCAAAAAATGTCTTGTGAACTCAATTAGTCTGTAAGCACTGAAACCATGACTGATATATGACAGACTCTTTGAACTGAATGGAAAACAATCTGACAGAGAGGACCAATAAATCTGGGAAAGACTAGACTTCCTGGCAACTTAAATAAGAATCTGAAGAATTAAATTTACAAAGGAAACTGGTTTAGAGATATCATATCTCAAAAGGAGATAGGTTGCCAGAATAAAATACCAACAAAATTGATTTTGTTAACATTATTGCTACATTCTACAAACTTCACAGTGTGATCATTTAAAAATACTCTGCAGTGTGAGGTTTCAGGCACAATAACTCCTAATTAGTGTTTTAATAAGTATGTTAGCACTGCCTTGTGCCATTCTGGAATGTCAGTTATGGTAAATTAAGGGACACTTTCCCTCCTATCTTCCATTAGTGCTTTAATGCTTAGAGGTGGGAAAAACTGGATCCATATTCAAGAGGAAAGGAGGGAAAACAATAACAAATTGGCATCTCTTCTGTGAATTGCCCCACAGGCCAAGCATTTTTATGTTCTTAATCATTATTAAATGACTTAACATGACACCCAGAGCCTGGCGAATGATTGCATCCTGACATGAGAACGAATTACAAATGAAATGAAAGATCAAGCCGTATTAGAGGACTGCCTCTGGGAAATGAAAATCTTTAATTCTCTTTTATTATTGACATTTATTTGGCTGCCATGAATAACAACATAGCAAAGAGATTCAGCTATGCTTGTGCACTGAATAGCTTATCCCAGGGCTCAAAATTGCATTAACATTTATCATGTTTGCTTTTGTAGCTGACACCACTGAACAGATTCTCTATCCATCTTGTATTTATCATGCATTGCAGATATAGTGCATCTTCTAATTTGAGTTCATTTTCATATGGTAGCAAAGATTAACCAGGGTCTTTCCTCAAATACAGTCCCATTTGTAAGCTTTCTTAAGAATGGTTTAGTAGATTTAATACAAAATAAATTTTTAAAATTCCAATCACAACATAAAGAAGTTAATTTTCAGCTTTGGGAAAACTGTACAAATTCACAAAGAGGAAGATACTCATGTGACATGTTTCTAGAATATAGAAAGCCTTAAAATGAACATCTCCACAAAGAGCAGCTAAATAGCATTTTATGAATCTGAAGGTAGGATTTTATTTTCTATTTGAGAAGTCAGCATGTTTTTCACTTTTTTAAACTGTCAACTGCTAAGATAGGAATTGACTACACATTATAGGGAGATAGCAATTTAGTTTGCATCAATGCAGTGATATCCTTTCCTGTTTTATTTTGTTTCTTTCAAAGAAATTAACAATATCCCTTTCCCTGACATAGGAGTTATCTGGTACTTGGTACGTTTGCTTAAGTGATCCTCTTGGACTGGATTGCCTTCTTTTTGTTAAATTCCTCCTAGAATTCAAGGCAATCTATCTTAAGAAAGTCACTCTGAATCTTATTTGAAAAAAATGTGTGTGGGTCTGAACTCAGGGTCTTGTGCTTTCTAGAAAAGAACTTAATCATGTGAGCCACACTTCCAAACTTTTTTAATTAGTTAATTTTTCAAATATGTACTTGTGCTTTTAGTCCAGCTTGTTACAGACGGTGATCTGTCTATCTCCATCTCCTAATTAGCTGGAGGACTACAGGGGTATATCACTTCATTCCGCTGATTTTTTTTTTCTTCTTTGCGGGTTTGAACTCAGGTCTTAGGGTTAGTTCAGCTGTCACTCTACCACTTGAGCCATTTTCTTCTTTGGGGGTTTGAACTCAGGTCCTAGGGTTAGTTCAGCTGTCACTCTACCACTTGAGCCAACCTGAGCCACACTTCCAGCCTGGCTTCTTGTTATTTTGGAGATAAGAGTCTTTCAAACTTTTCTGCTCTTGCTGGCCTTAGCCTCCTGACTAGATAGGATTACAGGTGTGACTAGCTACTTCGTTTCAGTCCTGAGGCTTGAACCTAGGTAATGTCTATCAGCTCTTTTGCTCAACTGCTAGTGCTCTACCACTTTGAGCCATAGCTCCAGTTCTGGTTTTCTGGTGGTTAATTGGAGATAAGAACCTCACAGAATTTCTTGCCCTGGCTGGCTTTGAATCAAGATCCTAAGATCTCAACCTGAGTGGCTAGGATTGCAGGCATAAGCCACCAGCGCATGGCTATTTTTGTTTTTGGAAAGTTGAAATTATGAAAAATTTCAGACACATACACAAGTAGACTTAACAGCACAATGTCCAGCTTCAAAAATTTTATCAGGACTAGCCGGGCGCTGGTGGCTCACGCCTGTAATCCTAGCTACTGAGGAGGCTGAGATCTGAGGATCGTGGTTCAAAGCCAGCCCGGGCAAGAGAGACCGTGAGACTCCTATCTCCAATAAACCACCAGAAAACCGGAAGTGGCACTGAGCTCAAGTGGTAGAGTGCTCGCCTTGAGCTGAAGAGCTGAGGGACAGCGCCCAGGCCCAGAGTTCAAGCCTCACGACCGACCAAAAAAAAAAAAAATTTATCAGGACTAGTTTGATATTTTTTTTTGGCTGGTCACAGGGCTTGAACTCAAGAACCTAGGTGCTGTTCCTGAGCTCTTTTTTGCTTAAGACTAGTGCTCTACCACTTTGAGCCATGCCCCACTTCTGGGTTTTTTTGGTGGTTAACTGGGTAAGAGTCTCATGAACTTTCCTGCCCCAAATGGGTTTGAAACATGATCCTGAGCTCTCAGCTTCCTGAGTGGCTATGATCACAGCTGTGAGCCACTTGTGCCCAGCAGGACTAGTCTCGTTTCACAGATGCCCCAACTCCACTCACTCAATAATTTTTGTTTTTTTTTGTCTGTCGTGGGCTCTGGGCTCTCGTTGAACTCTGGGCTTGGGCTCTGTCCTTGCGCTCTTCAGCTCAAGGTGAGTGTTCTACTGCTTGAGCCACAGCGCCACTTCCTCACTCAATAAAAGTTGAAGTAAATCTCTGAATCTTACTTTTGATACCTATTAAATTCCATAGTAAGAAAGTTGGACAAACATAAACAAATTGAACAAGCACAAAGGTTATAACTGTTACTGTTTACAAAAATCATTAAATGATTTTAATCTAAAGAGTTTAGATAGGTAATTTAATTATATTAAATCATCTTAGTAGGTAGTATCATGTTGACAATCAATCATTTTAGCTAAATGTTTATTTACTAGATGAAATTCCTGTTTAATTTCTATGGATGCTATAAAATGAATGGTTGAATAAAAATAGAAATGAGATTTTCTTTTTGAAGAAAAATCTGAGTAAACAACATTTCTACACTTACTTGTTTATGATTAAGTGAATCTATGCTAGTGCAAATATTTAAAAGATGTGTTCCTTTATTTAAGGAAAGACATTTCTGGACTAATAAAATCTGTGAAAATTCAAAAGTGAAGTAAATGTTTTTTGTTTATTGGTTTTTTTTTTGCCAGTCTTGGGGCTTGAACTCAGAGTCTGGCCTGGGTACTGTCACTGAGCTTCTTTTGCTCAAGGCTAGCACTCTACTACTTGAGCCATAGCACCACTTCTGGTGGTTACCTGGAGATAAGATTTTCATAGACTTTCCTGCCCAGGCTGGCTTTGAACCACAATTCTCAGATCTCAGCCTCCTGAGTAAAAAATGAAGTATTTTTGATAGAGTAGGAATATTTACTAAAATAACTGTAAAAGGTACATTACTGTGGAAAACCTAATGTAATTTTGTCCTGATTGATTGTCTTTGTAATATGGATTTGTCACACAGCTCCCACACATACCTGTAGCCATTATGGTGTCACCACTCCCTTGGGTGAAGATCACAATTCGCTGTCTCTTCAAGTTCACCTTAGGAAGAACTTGTGTCTTCCTGGCTATCTCCTTAATGTCTTTAGTCTATTAAAAGAAAGGAAGAAAACGTTTTTTGTTTTTATAACCAGTAGAGTAACATAAAACTTTATTAGTGGGTTAACAATATTGCTTCATTCCTTTTTTTGATTTGGTCAGTTGTGGGGCTTGAACTCTGGGCCTGGGCACTGTCCCTCAGCTCTTCAGCTCAAGGCTAGGACTCACCACTTCAGCCACAGTGCCACTTCCAACAATATTGCTTCAGATGAGACCTATTTCTGCAAGGTAGTGACTTAAACATAACCACAAAATTATAATAAATTAAAAAATTAATTACTTAAATAAAAAATAGGAATAATTCCTTAACCTTAGCAAATATCTGGTCAATTTACAAATTTCCAGTTAAAGAGAGGATTGTTTGCTTAAATAGGATCTCATCATGTATCCCACGCTGACCTTGAACTCATATTTCTCCTGCCTATATGATTAGGCCTTAGGATAGTTGTATTCCATACTCAGGGCTAGAATTATAGGCATGTACCAACATGTCTAGAAAAAAGAGATTTTAATTATTTAATTTAAAGAAGGAATAGTTCATTATTTTAGAGATTTACAGAATATAATTAGGCTGAGTTTAGGAATAGTACAATTGCTATACTGACAGATTTTTCACAGGACTGAATGAGAGCAAGAAATTAAGTCTTATGTAAAGACTTAATTTTTTTAAGACTTAATTTTTTAAAGAAAGATTAAGTTAGAAAATTACAAATTAAAAGTGGGTACAGATGGCTTACACCTGTAATCCCAGCTACTTAGGAGGTTGAGATCTATGCATCGTGGTTCAAAGCCAGCCTATGCAGGAAAGTCCGTGAGATTCTTACTCATTTTTTTTTTTTTTTTGGGTCCAGTTGTAGGGCCTGAACTCTGGGCCTGGGCGCTGTCCCTCAGCTCTTCAGCTCAAGGCTAGCACTCTACCACTTGAGCCACAGTGCCACTTCCAGCTTTTTTTTTCTTATGTGGTACTGAGGAATCGAACCCAGGGCCTCAGGCATGCAAGGCAAGCACTCTACCACTGAGCCAACTTCCCAGCCCGATTCTTATTTCCAATTAACCACCAGAAAACCAGAAGTGCTTCTGTGGCTCAAAGTGGTAGAGCACTAGCCTTGAGCAAAAGGACAGTGCCCATGCCCTGAGTTCAAGCCCCACAACAATAACAACAAAATTACAAATTAACTCTCAAACCCCTGGTACTATTTTTCATAGCACACAGGCTTTATTCCACAAATACTTTATACCACAAATACTCGAATTTAATTCTTGAGTTAAAGGCAAGTTTTAGAGCCTGGCATGGAGGCACAAACTTGTATTCTTAGCACTGGGGAGGCTATGACAGAAGGATCACAGTTTGAACCCAGCCTGGATTCCCTAGCAAGACTATGTCTCAGAAATAAAACAAATAAGTAAATAAATCACTAAGTAAATAAACACATAAATAAAACAATTCAACCATCTTAGGTAACTTAAAAATCTATGTATGAGCCGGGCACTGGTAGCTCATGCCTGGGCACTGGTGGCTCAGACCTATAATCTTAGCTACTCAGGAGGCTGAGATATGGGTATTGTGGTTCAAAGCCAGCCCAGGCAGGAAAGTCCTTGGAACTCTTATCTCCAATAAACCACCAGAAAATTGGAAGTTGAGCTGTGGCTCAAGTGGTAGAGCGCTCGCCTTGAGCTGAAGAGCTGAGGGACAGCACCCAGGCCCAGAGTTCAAGCCTCATGACTGACAAAAAATAAAAATAAAAATAAATTATGTCTGTAAAACTCCTATGGATTGAATGTTGTTGATAGCTTGTTATATCACTGTGTTTCACAAAGCTGTACCAGAGAAATATATAAGCAACAGAGCAGGAGTCATAAGGCTTATCATAAATGACTGCAAAAAATATAGAAGCTTCTATATTTAAGAAGTTGTGACAGAGCTGGGCAGGTGGCTCAGTGCTAAAAGTGCTTATCTTGTATGTATGAAGTCCTGGGTTCGATTCCTCAGCAACATATAAGCAGAAAAAGCTGAGTGACACTGTGGCTCAAGTCGTAGGGTGCTAGCCTTGAGCTGAAGAGCTGAGGGACAGTGCCCAGGCCCAGAGTTCAGGCCCCACGACTGACCAAAAACAAACAACCTAAAACCTTTTCCCAAAAGCTTACTTTTTATCTTCTCATAGCTAAATATTTTAAGTTCTAAGATATTTTCCCTTTTCTTAGATTCTTTTCTCTCATAGATAAATCTCACACATCTTACCAGAATGATGAAATTACAAGGAAGTTTAGAATATGATAGACCCTAGATTTATTATTTGTATGACCTTGAGCAGGTAAATAAACTCTCTAAGGGTCTATTTTAATTGATAAAAGTAAGAATATATTTGATAAAAGATGTTGTATAGCTCTGTGGTAGAGCACAGGCTTGGCATACGTATGGTCCAATTTCTAGCTCCAATCTTCTTTAAGATACTTATTATAGTATAGAAAACTGACAGACATCATCTTTATCATTGGTCAATTATGTGATGTTAAAATTTGTGAACAGGGCTGGGAATGTGGCTTAGCAGTAGAGTGCTTGCTTAGCATGCATGAAGCCCTGGGTTTGATTTCTCAGCACCACAGAAACAGAAAAAGCGAGAAGTGGCATTGTGGCTCAAGTTATAGAATGTTAGCCTTGAGCCAAAGCAGCTCAGGAACAGTGCCCAGATCCTGAGTTCAAGCCCCAGGACTGGCACACAAAAAAACTGTGAACAAAGTAGGGTATTTATACAGTTCCCCAAAACTATTATTACTAGTTACAAAGCCAAAGGAGCTCCAGTAGTAACAGGAAAAAAACCAAAATGAGTCAAGGTCCTGAGAGTGAGAAAATGTCATGGACTGAAAAAGACTAAGGGCACAAGATAAGTAAATGCAATCTGAACCCATATAATAGTGGAAGCCAGTAGTTCTAGGTACATGGAAGTAGAAATCAGGAGGATTGTGGTTCAAGGCGAGTCAGGGCAAAAAAGTTCAGAAGGCTGAGTGCTAGTAGCTCATACCTGTCATCCTAGATACACAGGAGGCTGAAGATCTGAAGGTTTGCTTAGAAGACCGGCTGGGCAGAAAAATCCATGAGAATCATCTCTAATTAACCACCAAAACCCTAGAAGTGGAGGTGTGGCTCAAGAGGTAGAGTACTAGCCTTGATCACAAAAGCTCAGGGACAGTGACAAGGAACCAGCATTTAAGCTCCTGGGCCAGAGCACACACACAAAGAAGTTTAAGAGACTCCATTTTACCAATGAAAGAGATGAGTGTGGTGGCATATATCTAACATTTTAGCTACATGGAAAACACAAACAGAAGAATCATGGCATGGGCATAAATGTGAGGTTTTAGTTGAAACAAAAGCAAAACAGTCTCAAGTAGCAAGTGCAAGCCCCTGAATTCAAACCCCAGTGCTACAAAAAGAAAAAGTAAGTAGTGTAGAAACTGGACTCTATTTTGGAAAAAAAAAATACAAATTAAGAGGAAAACTGAAGCTGGGTGCTGATAGCTCACATCTGGAATCCTAGCTACTCAGGAGGCTAAGATCTGAGGATTATGGTTTGAAGCAGATGAAGCAGGAAAAAAACATGAGACTCATACCCAACTAACCACTGAAATCGGGGGGAAGCCATTAGTAGAGCTGTGGCTCAAGTGGTAGACATTAGCCTTAAGCAAAGAAGCTCAGGGCCAGAATCAGGCCCTGAGTTCAAGCTCCAGTATTGGCAGAAGGCGGGGGGAAAAAAAGAAATAAACTTAGGTAATTAGTTTTTGGCAATGTGCGAATGTTAATTCATTATAATATGGTTATATAAGACATTAACATTAGGTGAAGGTATATAAAAGGAATATGGAAATTTCTGTACTATTTTCTTTTTTTTTTTTTGGGGGGGGGGGGGGGCGGTCGTGGGCCTGAACTCTGGGCCTGGGCGCTGTCCCTCAGCTCTTCAGCTCAAAGCTAGTGCTCTACCACTTGAGCCACAGCGCCACTTCTGGCTTTTTTCTTTTTGCTTATGTGGTGCTGAGGAATCGAACCCAAGGCCTCATGCATGCAAGGCAAGCGCTCTACCACTGAGCCACCTTCCCAGCCCTTCTGTACTATTTTCATATTTTTTTCTAAGACTAACATAATTTTGAAATAAAAACTTACAGCCATGCCCTGGTAGTCATGCTTGTAATCTCAGCACTTGAAAGGCTAAAATAGAAGGCTTCCAAATTTGAGACCAGCATGGGCTACATATAGTAAGATTTTTTTAAAAAAAATTAAAAATAATTGTTGCAAGAATGAAACTAGATTAAGTGAAAGAGTACAATGCTGTATTTTCTGCTTGGCTTATTTTTAAAATCTCTATGAATGTCCATTCCTTCTGTTGTCCCATAATCTCTACAAAGAGCTCAAGAGTTTTGACTAATGAGAATTCAATTAGAATATCACACAAGCAAAGTGAAAAATGCAGAGGGAGAAGATCCTCACCTGACTGAGCATGAGCTATTATGGAACTCTAAAGTGGTCATTAAATCTCAGCTTCTCTATGTAGTAGTACTTAGAGAAATATAGTTATCTTTTTTTTTTTTTTTTTTTTTTTTTTGCTAGTCCTGGGACTCAGGGCTTGGGCTCTATCCCTGAGCCTCTCTGTGCTCAAGGCCAGCGCTCTACCACTTGCTACCACTTGAGCCACACTGAGATGAGTCATATGGACTTTCCTGTCCAGGCTAACTTTAAACTTTGACCCTAAGATCTCAGCCACTTGAGCAGCTAGGATTATAGGCAAGAGCTACCAGCGCCAGGCCAATTATCCTTATTTTATAGACAAAAAGAATTAAGAACCATGCTTGTAACTCTAAAGTATTCATTACCTAAAGGTAGTAGGTACTATTGCTTATCTCATTTTACATGTGAAGAAATTAAGTTACAGAGATTAAGTACTTTGTTTAAAGCCATAAATACAAGTAGAAGAGCCAGGATTAGCATCTCAGTCTTTTCT